GGAGCTCTTCCCTCTCCTATCACAGCACCGAGAAATTCCCTCACAGACCAACCCCCAGCTTCTGGGGCAACACCTCAGAGGAGCGCTGCCTCAGCAGTGCTGGCAATTTACAGTCAGCAGAGCTATCCACGCTACATACTCCCCTCATTAGCCACAAGGACCACAAAGACCTGGCAATTTCTTCCACTTTACATTTGCCTAACTTGACTGATAACATACATCCTCAATCTCCATTCTCTGATTACTCTGACTTCACCTCCCCCCTCTCTGAGGACGAGGTAGAGTGTTTACCTGTTTTTTCACCTCAGCCATATATGGAGGGCTCTATATGGTCTGCTTATCAGCAACAACCAGATTTTCTTAGCGCACAAATGGCTCCCTGGGCTCCTTATTTTTGGAGCCTATGCTTTGTCCCTCCCCCCTCCTGTGGCAAATGTTCAATTAATCACCTCGACAATATAAAAAAAAGACCATGTAAGACCAAGCATATGGCAAAACCCTGCTCTCCTTTAAACTGGTCACCCCACATCTCTATGAGGGGAACTGACAGCGAAAGCCATTGTTCTCCAGTGTCAGCTTCTACATCTCTACTACATTCAAACGCAGCCTCAGCCACAGAGCAGGCAATGTTACCACCTACTACTCATACCACCAATGAGCTCTCCTCTTACCAAGATTTATTTAAAAGAGTTGCTATTGATTTCAATACACCTATGAAAGAAGTTCAGGTTGCTCAACATGAACTCACTAACATCCTCCAGCCCAGTACAGCAACAAAAATGGCACTTCCTATTAATCCAGCCATCTTGGAGCCTGCTAAAACTCTATGGCAAACACCTGCATCCATCCCACCAACATGCAGGAAAGCCGATTGAAAATACTATGTTCCCCCCAAGGATTCTCAATTTCTGTTTTCACATCCCTGACCCAACTCCCTCATAGTAGATGCTGCACAGCAGAGGAACAAACAACAAAATCATTCCATGCCATCTGAAAAGGACAATAAACATCTAGACATGTTTAGAAAAATGGTTTATGCCTCTGCCACTCTTCAGATGAGAGTGGCGAACTATGTTGCTTTATTAAGTAAATACAACTTCAATAATTATACAAAATTCAATACTTTTATTGAAGATATCCTTGACAGCAAAAAGGCACAGTTTCAGGCTCTCATCTCGGAAGGTCAGATAATATCGCGAATAGCCCTGCAAGCCACACTTGACACAGTGGACACAGCTACAAGGACTATAGAAACAGCAGTCATGATGAGATGAGCCTCATGGTTCAACTCCTCTGCCTTTCCCCTCCAATTGCAACCATCAGTAAATGACTTTCCAGTCGATGGAGAAAAGCTGTTTTCTGCAAACACCAATGAGCTGCTCCAATCGATGAAAGATTCCAGAGCCATATTGCGGTCACTCAGTATCCAAACACCTATGACAAGACAGTACAGGTACCAACCATATCAGAGACCTAGGTACCCAACAGTTCACTTACCAGTACCAGAGACAAGACCATGCCCTATACCACCAGAGGGGGCGCAACAAGCAGCACAGACTTTGCCCTCAGACTAATAACCCCAACCGCTCATCCCAACCAATTTGAAATAACAGTCAAAACTACACCATATGCACCAGAGCTTGAGATTGGTTCCAAACCTTTTCTATTTTGTTTATTACCTTTCCTTTCAAATTGGGTATCTATTACCACTAATAAGTGGGTAACTCAAACCATTTCCCAAGGTTATACCATCCCCTTTCTCTCTCCCCCCCCCAACCATTCACCCCATCCCTCTTCAGGGACCCCTCTCATGAAATCATACTACAACAAGAAGTGGACCACCTTCTCAAATTAGGAACCATAAAACCAGTACCCCAAGAGTTCCACGGAACCGGTTTCTACTCGCATTATTTTCTTGTAGAAAAGAAAACAGGCGGTTGGAGATCGATCCTTGATCTTTGGTTACTAAATGAATACATAAGGAAACAAAATTCAAAATGATCACCCTAAATACTATTATCGAAGCTCTGTGGTCTGGTGATTGGTTTTCCTCTCTTGACTTGCAGGATGCATATTTTCATGTATCCATTTGCCCCTCTCATAGACGTTTTCTCCGTTTCACTTTAGGTCTCTAACACTACCAGTACACGGTACTGCCCTTTGGTTTCTGCACTACTCCAAGGGTATTCACGAAGATGATAGCAGCTGTTGCTGCTCACCTCAGAAAACAAGGAATCACAATTTACCCGTACTTAGATGACTGCCTTATCAAAGCGAGGATCAGTCAAGACTGTTATCAAGATACCATTACTGTGATAACCTGCCTTCACTCATTAGCCTTCCTAAAAAATTATGGCAAATCAACACTCATGCCAACCCAAACAATCCAGTCCATCGGAGCTCAGCCAGAGCCTCTTTACCGACAGACAGATTCACTCGCATCAGTCACCTTGCAAAATCGCTTCAAGAGATGCCAGTAGTAAGGGTTTTCAACTGCCTTCAACTGTTAGGTCACATGGCATCATGCAATCCTGTGGTCCCAAATGCATGTCTCTTTATGAGATGCCTCCAAGGATGGCTTTGATGTAAGTACAAGCCGCATGTCCATCATATGAACAAAATGCTCACACTTCCACAACCAGTAAAAGCATCCCTACACTGGTGGACAAAATCATCCAACCTGTGCATAGGCATCGCCTTTCGAACCCTGGACCCCTCTAGCTGTCACTACAGACGCATCCCTTATGGGTCAGGGTGCCCATACAGAAGGCCGCATAGCACACGGCCTATTGTCTCTGGCAGACCGCATGCTCCACATCAATGCCCTTGAACTCAGGGCAGTTCTCCTGGCATTCCAAGAACTGTTTCCCAATGTCATGGGAATGCACATAAAAATATATACAGACAACACCGCATGCATGTTCTATATACACAGGCAAGGTGGTGCCCGTTGGTGTCTAGCCACCTTTCTGGGGTCCTCAATTCAATGGGAGATGCCCTCAGCAGAGCCCTGCCACAAGAGTACAAATAGGAACTTGACTATGCTTTCCTCAGCAACATATTCAATTGATGGGGTCTCCCAGATATAGATTTATTTGCCACCTCAATCAACAAAAAATGCCCAAGTTATTGCTCCAGGGCAGGCATGGGCAAAGGGTCCTCTGGGGATGCTCTTATAACCTGAAATGCACTCCTACATTACACTTTTCCCCCATTGTCTCTCCTCAACAGAGTCCTTGTAAAGATTCTGAACGACAAAGCAAAAGTTATCTTCATTGCACCCGGTTGGCCCTGACAGCCGTGGTTTCCCCTTCTACACAGGCTAGCAATACATCAACCAATCACGCTTCCAAACAATCCCAACATTCTCTGTCAACCAGGGATCATGTATCCTCACCCACGGTTTCGCACTCTCCATCTCAAGGCGTGGTACCTAGATGGTTCACGGGCATAGAACTGCAGTGCTCTCAACAAGTCCGTGATGTCCTCTTACAAAGGAGCACCTGTAACAAGAAAAACATACCTGAGCAAATGGACTCAATTTGTTCACTGGGCAACATCTCGTAACATACGACCGCAAGACGCTCCATTTCCTGATGTATTGGAATACCTGTTACACCTCAGACAATCACATCTCTCTCTCAGCTCAATCAGGGTCCACCTAGCAGCCATTGCAACCTTCCATGCAACAGTGGAAGACACCACAGTCTTCGCACACCCAGTAACCAAGCAATTTTTGAAAGGTCTGCAGGCTCTATACCCAGAGGTGGCACTCCCTCAAGAGTCTTGGGAATTACACTTGGTACTAACAACCCTCACAAAACCGCCATTTGAACCCATGGCAACATGTTCCCTATACCATCTATCCTTAAAGACGGCATTCTTGGTAGCAATAATATCAGCCCGCAGAGTGAGTGAGATGGCTGCCCTGATGGCAGAACCACCTTTCACGATCTTTTTTAAGAACAAGGTCACGATGCGACCACACCCAAAATTCCTGGGGATGGATTTCTGTGGCTGGAGGCCAGGAGGTTGGGGGCCGGGAGGCAGGGGGCTGGCGATGGAGTTCTGGAGCTAGTGGCTGGGGATGGAGTTCTGTGGCTGTGGGCCAGGGAGCTGGGGCTGGAGTTCTGGGGCTGGGGCTGGAGTTTGGGGGCT